CTCAAAGTTGCCAAGGTTGGACACCCCTTGCCTAGACAAAGATTACTGGGAAGCTGATATCTGCAAAACTCTGGAAGAAATGCGTGAGGAATTTTATCAGCTCATGGATAGAACAGAAGACCTTATTAATAAAGCAAGGGGCAGCAACCAGTCTTTTCTTGGAGCAGCAAATGAAATTATGGAAGCAGTCAAAGGCAGAAAAGGGGAACTATTAGAGGGCAGAAGCTCAGTTGCTGATGAAGAAAAAGCGACAGTTGATAATAAAGAGTGCACAGATACTGAGAATGAAAAAGAAGAACTTTCAAAACAACAGATGGAGGTCAACAAGGAAATAGTAGGAGAGGAAAGTTCTGAAAAAGGAGGAAAGGAAGAATCAGGAGATGCATGTGATGAAAACAATTCTGTACCATCACTTCCTGGAAGCAGCATCACAAATATTTCTGCAGAAGAGGCTGATGCTTCTGAAGAGAAGAATACAGCAGGATGCGATTCAGAAATTCCTGATGATAATAAGGCAGACAAAAACATGGCATCAGAAGATCTTAAGGATATTTCAGATGAAACAGCTAAGACAATTCCTAAAATGAACTTTGATTTATCTGCTGAAGCACTTTTATCAGACCCAGAAAACAGCAGTAGCAATGAACCAAATTCTGTGCAGAGTGAATCTGTGAAGAATTCTGATGAAGTGAAAACCACTGAAGGAGGTTCTCAGAACTCAGAGGATCTTCTAGAAGATAAATCTAATGGTGAGAGAAGTGAAACAAGTAGAATAGGCATTCCAGGTTCAACACGAATGGTCACTAGATTACGAAATCCAGATAGCAAACTCAGCCAGCTGAAAAGTCAGCAGGTTGCTGCTGCAGCACATGAAGCAAATAAAAGATGAATAAAATGCCAAACCCTATCTACACATCTGGCTTGAAGTGAAACAAACCACGATAAGAGATTGCACAGACTGACTACAAAAGGAGCGGCATGTGAAAGTAGCAACAATGATGCATTGGAAGAACAAGAAAATACCATTTGCTTCCAGGAAGCAACTGGTGGGATCATAAAATGGAAAAAATCATAGAAAATGAAGACTGGGATTTTAGAATATAATCTGACAGGCACCTGCCATATAATACCTCAGACTTAACAATTGTCGATAAAAGACAAAAATGTTGAATGGTGAATGTGGCAGTACCCGAGACAGCGGAAGAGAAGAGAAAGAACTGGAGAAGATAACAAAATACAAAAACCCACAAATAGAAATAGAACAACTGCTGCAAAAGAAAGCAAGGATAGTATTAATAGTAATAGGCCCCTTGGGTGCAACCCTAAAACATTTGGAGCATCCTTTGAGCACCATCAGCATTGACAAATTCACCACCAGTCAATTTCAAAAGGCAGCTTCCCTTGGAACAGCTGACATTCTGCAATGATATCTTTATACATCACCAAAAAATGTTATTTGTCTATCCTGATTCCTTGGGAAGGACGCTATAAGTGAATTAAAAAACCAAATGCAGTTTAAATATCTGGCTGAGTGTGCGATCAACAATATTAATAACTATGCCAAACACCCCTGGGCACCTTACAAGATATCAAATAGACAATCGAAACAATTAAAACTTAAGATTGGTCGTCCCACAAGTGCTTTTCCAAAAGACAACTGGACTTTTGAAAGTCCAGTTGCCTTTTGAAATAGCATTTTTGGGACAACCATGACCTGGATGACTGAGAATCTTCAGAGACCAGAAGCTCACAAACTTTTGGGCACCAGGGACCGATTCCATGGAGAGGTTTTTCTGTGGACCAGAGAGTTTTTGCATGCTGCCTGCATCCCACGGATGGGGCTTCACTTGTTTGCGTGGCCCAGTTGCTGGCATGCCATGTCCCAGTGCCAGTCCACAGATTGGGGGAACCCCTGCCCTAGACATTAAGATTGGTTGCCACTCAGAGTCATTTTCTGAGATTGGTGGCCATAAAAATTGAGTAAATAAAAACAGAACAAATAAAAATAAGAAAATTAACAGCATGGACAAACAAACAAAAAATAACCCTAACCATCCAAAAACATGACAGGTTCCACAAATGCGGCAACTGCACAACTGAACTCAAACTATACAACATATGGAATATTTGTCTCTCTCTTTCCGAGCATAGTTCCACTCAACTTGTTATTTGTTTAAAATGATCCCGAGTAGGGCTTATTTTCCATGTGGATTTTTTTGAGGTGGTTGCTAACATTTTGGCTTTGCTTGGCAGGTTTTTTGACCAAGCTGAAACAGTTCTTAAGCGATTCAGCTTTCATCTTACCTACCGCTACTTCTTTCTGAGGTTAATGCCTAAACTAAAACCAGAGATGATTTCAAACATGAAGGCCTGTGCACCTCTTTGCAGTCTGTTCTTGAGGTCCCTTTTTGCAATGCCTATCCAACTGCATCCACAGGTTTTTTGATGTGGTTTTAATCATGTAGAAATGTAAGATCTGACCGATAATTAAAACTTACTTATGTTTATTTAGAAATAACCATACAGTTTTTGAAAAGATCTGATCTAGCCTTCCTTCTATTGGGGATTTTCAAATTCTCAGCTGAAACTTTTTATTGGTTTAAAAGGCTGTAGAGTCATGGTTGTCCCAAGTGTGTTTTTTCAGGAGGCAACTGGATTTTTTTGTTTTTTTCTTTGAAGACGTTTCGCTCCTCATCTAAGAAACTTCTTCAGCTCTGGCTGGATGGTGGGGAATGGAAGGATTTATATTCCTTGCAGACAGCTGGTCATTTGCATTCTTTTTGGAGAGTCGTTGAGGCCGTTTGAAGGTTTGTCTGTATCCTCAGAATCACCTGAGTAATCCTAATGGTTCCTGAAGTCTGCAATCCCTCTGGGAATCCATTCATATTCTCACACCAGCCCAAGGGTGTTCATCCCAAATTGCATAGCTAAAAGTCGGTAGAGATTCTCAGTCATTCGGGTCATGTTTGTCCCAAAGGTGCTTTTTCAGAAGGTAGCTGGACTTTCTTGTTTTTTTCTTTGAAGACTTTTCTTTTTAGATTAGTTTATATCCCTCTTTATCATTTTTACAAATAACTCAAGGTGGTGAACTTATTCAACACACCTTCCTCCTCCTCCTGTTTTCACAACAACAAACCTGGGAGATGAGCTGCGCCGAGAGAGAGTAACTGGCCCAACGTCACCCAGTTAAGGCATGACTAGAACACACAGGTTCCTAGTGATTGGCCAAAGTCATCCAGCTGGCTTTCATGACTGAGGCAGGATTGGAACTCAACAGTTTATATTTTAAAACTCTGCTTCTTTTTTCTTGAAGGTGGACGCCCTAAGTCAATGCAATTATGGCATCACGAACGTCAGAATACACCATTGGTGGTGTAAAAATTCTCTTCCCTTGTAAGGCTTATCCATCGCAACTTGCTATGATGAATGCAGTAAGTGTGAAAAGCAATTATTTTATAGCAGTCATTGTAAGGTTATGCTTGGGTTGTGCAGTGGCCTAGAGGTGGAGCTCTCTCGCCTCGCAATCAGGAGGCTGTGAGTTCGATCCTAGGTAGAGGCAGATATTTCTGTCTCTCTGGGCATAACGAGAATATATCTGCTGGAAAAAACCTCCACATTGGCACCAGGAAGGGCATCTGGCCAGTAAACACTCAGCCCCATTCAGTTGTCCAGGCTCTACCCCGCAAGGGGTTATGGGGTCGTTAAAATGATTGTTATGATGATTGAAAGTTATGATGATTGTAAGGTTATACTCTACAACAGTGTTTCTCAACCTTGCAACTTCCAACTCTAAGAATTGTTAGGTGCATGTAGCCAGTCAGCATGCTGGATGGGGAATTCTGGGAATTGAAGTCCACCCTTCTTAAAATTGCCCAGATAGAGAAACGCCGCTTTGCAGTTGCAAACAAAAGATTTTCTCTGGCTTCCCTGACCTTTTTCTGTCTTTCAGCTTTTAAAAGCTGTGCTTGGTGTTTGTTTTTCAAAAAAAGAAAAAGCAACAAGATTCAATTCAAAACTTTTAAATCATAGTGAAAGTTATTAGCCTTCTTTTGTGACCTTTTTTTTTTGCCCTAGTTGTTAAGTGAATCACTGCAATTGTTAACAGGTTGTTAAGCAGATCTGGCTTCCCTCGTTATTTTATTGGTTGGACTCCGGCCGGGAAGGTTGCAAATGATGAGCACGTGACCCTGGGACTCTGCAGGCTATTTAAGTCAGAAGTGAAAAGTTTTTAATACAGTATTGGGGAGTCGGGATCCAACCTTTCACACTGAGTAGAAATTGCATTTGCTGTCGAAATTCCATGCTTTCAAATAGATAGCCATCTACGTTATTTTTCAAATTCGGTTCTGCTGTGAATCAAATGAGGGAACCAGTTTGAAAGCAACAGGTAAATCAGATCTTCAGGTGTTCTTAGTTGCCATCTTGCAGCCAACAAAAGAAAGGCAGCCGCTTTTTTTCCCCCCGTACTGGCAAAATTCATTTCCTTCTTTACAGATTGTGAAGGGGTTGAGCTCCAAGCAACACTGCCTGCTAGAGAGTCCCACTGGAAGTGGGAAAAGCTTGGCGCTGCTCTGTTCTGCACTGGCCTGGCAGCAGTCACTCTATGGTGAGGCCTGGGGTGGGCTTGTTTCATCCCATCAAGACTTTCTTTTGGCTTCATTCTTCCTGCTAATTTTATGTCTGTCTATATAAATATACTAGCCCGATAACCGTGCTTTGTTATGAAACTATGTGGTCGGGCTTAATTTATGGAGAGGAAAATAAGGGGGAAAAAGAATTCTGCTTCTGCCTACCAGTATCTATCGGTATTCATCTGGCTAGCGTCCTGTCAGTGTGTGAGAGAGTTGAGGGCTGTGTGGAAACTGAAACCTATTAGCTGTGTGAGCAAGAAAGAGACAGCGAGGAGCCTGGGCGTGGCTCAACTGTCAGTTCAACTGCTCTGTACTAAAACTGCTTGGTGCTGGGAAACTGAAACTGAAACTCTGTTTTGCATTTTGAAGAGATTTCTTTTCAGGTGGGGAGCGGGAGTAGAACTCTTTAGCATCAGAGCGTGTTAATAATAATATACGAAATACTAATAGCTCTGATGGTGATTTCGAAAAATCCTTTCTTAGTGAGCCCCTAGAAGCCAAGAGGAACATACATGCCAGATTTCAAGTTTGTAGGCTTTACAGTTCTGGAGATTTTGTGATGATGTGTGAGTGGTATTTCGCTTTTATATCGATAGATTCAAATCTATATTAATATGTATCCATTATCTATCCATCTATCCATGTCTGTCTGTCCGTCCATCCATCTATCTATCATCAATATCTATCTATCTATATCCATCTATCTCCATCTATCCATATCATCCATACCTATCTATCTGTCAGTCTGTCTATCATCTGTCTAGCCATCATATCTCTCTCTATATCCTGTCTGTCTGTCTGTCGGTCGGTCAGTCTGTCTGTCTGCCTATCTATCTATCTGCCTATCTATCTATCTGCCTATCTGCCTATCTATCTATCTGCCTATCTATCTATCTGCCTATCTATCTATCTATCTATCTATCTATCTATCTATCTATCTATCTATCATGTTTAAGAACAGTCCATCTCTTTCACAGAGAGACTCTGGGTGGTGTTGTGTACCGTAAAATATTAAAAGCCTAATAATAGTATATAAAATTTAAAAGAGGCAAGGGAAGTTAGCAAGCCACTTTTTTCAATGCCACTGCAACTTTGAAACAGTCACTAAATGAATGGTTGTAAGCCAAGAATTACCTGTATTATTATTTTTTTAAAAAAAAAAAACTTGCCTGCTGTTTAGAAAAACCACTGGATGACTTGTGCTCAAAAGAATGCAAGAAGACCGAGGCTTTGAAACTCTGCCGATGCCCATGCCATGCCAATAAATTGTCCAGTCAGGATCCAGAAGGAGGCTGCCAAACCACATCATCTTTCTTCCCCAGCCATGCAACAGAGACCTCATCAGGCGGTGGAAGTAGCTCAACCAGCAAAGGTATATAGTCTTACCTAAGGGGGCTTTTAAGGACACAGCCCTCCTTTATAACAGAATAATAGGTGTTGGAAGGGACTTTGGAGGTCTTCTGCTCCAACCTTTCCTCAGGCAGGAAACCCTATACCATTTCAGACAAGGGGCTGTTGATTATCTTCTTAAAAGCCTCCAGTGATGGAGCCCCCACAAATTCTGGAGGCAAGCCATTCTACTGAGTAATTGTTACTGCTGTTAGAAAATTTCTCCTTAGTTCTAGGTTGCTTCTTTCCTTGATTAGTTTCCATCTGTTGCTTTATCCCTGGTTCTTGCTTCTCTTCCTTAGACTAGACATCCCCAGCTCCTGCAACCGTTCTTCATATGTTTTAGCCTCCAGCCCCCTCATCATCTTTGTTGCTCTTCTCTGCACTTTCTCTAGGGTTTCAACATGTTTTCTATTTTTACAGGTAGGCCTCAACTTATGACCCCAGTTGAGCCCCAAATTTAGGTTGCTGAGGGAGAAATTTGTTGAGTGAGCTTTGCCCCATTTGACGATTTTTCTTGCCACCATTGTTAAGTGAATCATTTCAGTTGTGAAGTTAGTCACACAGTTGTTAAGTGAATCGGGCTTCCCCATGGACTTTGCCTTTCAGAAGGTCGCAAAAGAGGACCACATGACCCTGGGACACTACAACTGTTATAAATGTGAGTCAGTTGTCAAGCATCTGAATGTAAATTCACGTGACCGTGGGGATGCTGCAAGGGTCCTAAGTTTGCAAAATGTTTGTAAGTCACTTTCTTCAGTGCTGCTGTAGCTTTGAACGGGGTCATTAAGTGAACTGTTGTAAGTCGAGGACTGCCTGTATTTCCTTCTTGTCTGCCAGGTTATGTTTTACTGTTGGATGGGATGCTTGTACAATTGTTTTCCCTTTCACCGTCTCCCTTTTGCTGTAATTCCTATTGCAGAAAGCGTCTCACGCATTACGTTGGCTTCAAAACTGTCTGCCAAACACCAAGCCTCATTCCACGAAGAAGATGACAGTGACAACGATTTTAAAGTGGAAAGGAAGAGGATCCGTCCACTCGAAACGGAGCAGCAGGTGAGCAATATATATACAGGCAGTCCTCACCTTACAGCCGCTTGTTTAGTGACCGTTTGAAGTTACAACGGCACTGAAACAAGTGTCCTCTGGCCATATATTCACGCGACTGATGGTCACATAATCAAAATTCATGCGCTTTACAACTGCCTCATATTTTATTATTTTTGTAGTGTTCTGGATAGTTCTTGACTTACAAATATTTGCTACAAATACTGGTTATAAATCCTAAACAACTCTGGAGCGCATGACAGTGAGGAACATCTCCCATAGTGCCAGCTTTTCATAGTGCCAGCTTTTTTCTCTTCAGGAAAGATCTTTCCATGCCGTGGCCTGAGATGCGCTACTTGGCACAAAAGAGACCTTTTCCCCAGTGGCTTTTGTGCTTTTCGCAGTGACCTCATCTCTTGAGGCACGGTGGCTCAGTGGCTTAATGGTGCTGGAGATGGTCTCTGCTCCAGCGGTTTGAGTCGTCGTAACTGTGTGGCAGGGTGAGGTCCCGTCGCTCACCTCAGCTTCTATCCAGTTAATAGGTCAAAAGCATGTTTTGTGCGAATAGATAAATAGGTACCACTTTGGTGGAGAGACAAGTTGGTGCTCTGTGCAGGCAGGCAAATTCCTGCTGGTTCTGAAGCTTCCCAGTTGCGGTACCTGTTTGCGAGGTGGCTCTTTAGAAGGGAAGGGGCCTTGGATGACATTGCAGGAAGAACTTCTTTTCTGTGGTGAACGAGCTCACCCTCCTTTGGCGCATCCTTGGGAAGCACACGAGCATTTCCTAGTGCAGAGCCGGAATGGTTCAACTCACCTTGGCCAACTTGCTGCAGGACAATTCAATTTAATCGTTTAAAATAATTAAAAAGACTATTTTAGTTTTTGTCCCTCCTTTGGCGTCCTGGAATTATTTAGTAGCTCTTGTCCCGCAGCAAGTTGACTGCGGTGGGTTGTTGTAAACAGGAACAGATACCTTGACAGCCAAACTACTACTCAGCAATTGAAACTGTGGTCTCCTGGCTACTATAACAACACCATGTGCCAGTACAACAATGACAACAACTTCATCTCTTCAATTTTTCCAGTCCTCTGTTGCCGTTTCATTTTTAAATGGTTTGTTTTGATTACAAAAGTAAACATTTCATGTTGGGGAGGCAAGAGGCTGACTCTGTAAACCTCTTAGAGAGGGGCTGTAAAGCACTACGAAGTGGTATATAAGTCTAAATGCTGTTGCTAGTTGGGGAGGAAAAATAAAACGTTGCTTTTTTAGACTTTTAGCCTCCCAAATTCAAAGGCATGTTTGCATGGCTTATAGGCGAGAAAACGACACCGGCTGACCTCAGGAACCCAACTAACGGATGCTTCAGAAGTTCATGAGCAGCGAAAAAATGGGGAATTGACAGTGACTCTCGGAAAAACTGAGCCTCCCTCACGTAAAACAGTAAGTGTGATAATACTAGGATATTAAAGGCAAATTGCATTGGTTTGGAAGAGCTCAAGAGTTCAGCTCTGTGAAAAGATGCTTGGATTTTCTTGCCTCCTATTCTAGTTACAGGTAATCCTTGACTTACGACCATCCGAGTTATGATGGACGCCGAAAATTTACAGTTCCAAAGTTACAATGCCCCCTCATCCATCACTTGGCCAATGTTTTAGGTGCTGTTTGTTTATATTTCACATTCCTTAACTGCCCACCTCCCTCAGAGATGTGTTTTCATTTTTTAAAATTAAACTTATATGCCACCTATCTCGCTAATCCAGAGCGACCTTCGCTTCTGGGTTTTGGCAAAAATGCTCCACAGAGAACAAGGGCTTTGCTTAACGACCGTAGCACTCGTTTAACAACTGCTGGCGGCGGCCTATGGAGCTGGCAGCAGAGTCGTACAGTGGGGAGGAACATGGCCCAGTGCTGGAGTCTGGAGAGGGCTCAGACGAGGGATCTCCATCTGACACAGAGATGGAGCCAGGGCCATCAGAGTTATGTGCTGACTCCGGAGCCTCCAGAATCTGACATCAGTGAGGCAGAGGAACAGGGGGTAGCCTGTTCCCAGTGCGCGCTTGCGCAGAGCTGCCAGAAGGCAAGAACAGTTAAGACAAAAGGGGAGACTCGGGAGTAAGGCTTGGAGATGATTGGCCCCTCCCATAAGAGATAAAGGAGGAGCAAAGGGAGATGAGCCTTTGCAGGAAGCAACTTTGTTGGTTCTGGTCGGTTTAAACTCTGTGAAGCTCTGTGTTGACTTGGTGCTCCGTTTGCCCTGTACAGCTAATTGGCAATTTAGTCGATGGCAACATTTCAAGGGAGATGGAGGTGGATGCTTATCAGCCTTATCCCAAAAGACTGTGGCAGACTTCTGCTGAACTCTCCATAAACTGTTCGGGACTCATTACAGGCTGTGAATACATATAATTCACAGCCATTGAAATAATTAAAAAACGGTTTTTGGGAACAGCGTGTGATAGTTATTGTCTCAGGAAGCCTTGGTCAGAACAATAATAAAATCAGATGGTTTATGTAGGTGACCCCTTTGCAACCCTCACGATTTACGACGGTAATAGGCAGGTGCCTACGGGTAGTCCTCGACTTACAACAGTTGGTTTAGTGACCATTCGCAGTTACAACAACACTGAAAGAGGTGGTTTTTTTCATATTTGCGACCGTTGCAGCATTCTCCAATTGCTGAAAATTGACTTTGCTTGCCAGAAGGCCGCGAAAGGTTATCACATGACCCTGGGATGCCGCAACTTTCATAAATACGAACTTGTTGCCAAGCATCTGAATTTTGGTCACATGGGGATGGTGCAATGGTCGCAAGTGTGAAAAACCACCATAAGTCACTTTTTCCAGTGCCGTTGGAACTTCAAATGGACTGTTCTAAGTCAAGGACTAGTGGTGGGATTCAATTCTTTTTACTTCCGGTTCTGTGGGCGTGGCTTGGTGGGCGTGGCAGGGGAAGGATACTGTAAAATCTCCAGTCAGAGGCGGGATTGGCCGGTTCTCCAAACGACTCAAAATTTCCGCTACCGGTTCTCCCAGAACTGGTCAGAACCTGCTGAATCCCACTTCTGTTGAGTACTACCTGTATTATATCAATATGCCCCCATTTAAGCGGAAGAAGAAAGCTACAAAATACCTAAGATTTAAGAAAAGGACAGTAATTGTAGAGATACATTATTTCCTAGGGAGTTAATCAACTCTCTTGTTTTTGTGTTTGAAAAAGCATCTTCAAGATTTCTTTTGCCCTAGGTAACAGAAAGAAATTATGTAGTAATTTCTTAAAAAGTATGGTTTGGGGTCTTGAGGATTTTTCATTTATTTGTCTGCAGAGATTCTCAGTCCTCAGTTCATGGCTGTCCCAAAGGTGCTTTTTCAAGAGGCAACTGGACTTCCTTGGTTTTTTTTTTTTTCTCTTTTAAAGACATTTCGTTTCTTGTCCAAGAAGCTTCTTCAGCTCTGACAGGATAGTGGGGAATGGAAGGATTTATATTCCTTGCAGGCAGCTGGTCGTTTGCATCCTTTTAGAGGCTTGTTGAAGCACTTAAGAGTTTATCTGTATCCTCTGTCCTGGTTCCTGCAGTTTTTTGGAAATCCATCCCATCTCCCACACCATCCAAAGTTGTGTTCATCCCAAATTGCGTAGCTAAAAGTCTAGAGATTCTCTGTCATCCAGGTCATGGTTGTCCCAAAGGTGCTTTTTCAGGAGGCAACTGGACTTTCTTGTTGTTGTTTTTTTTTTTGAGGATTTATTGTAATGTTTTTCAAACATTGCTGGCAAATTTAAGACACCTGGACTTCCACTCCTAACCAAGCTGACTAGGGAATTCTGGGAATTGAAGTCCACATGTCTTAAAAGTGGCCGAGTTTTAAAAACACTTATTTGTTACCCCCTCCCCCCCCTCCAAGGCAATTTAAGCTGGCCAAAAATGCCTGGAGAATTTTAGATAGCAGTTTACAAACTATTAAACGAGTAATAGTTGACAAGCTGTATTAGAGAACCAGTAGAAATCCATTCCAAGCACCCGAGCATCAAAAACATTAACAAACAGCCACAAAGTCGTGACAAAAAAACCCCAATTCCAACCGTGAGAAAAAAAAAAAGGAAGAGAATCAAGACTCCAGGGGTTACAAAGGTCAAGGATTGGAACCCCAGAGTAGCTAATTCAGACCCAAATATATTTTTTTTAAACATTCATTGCCTTTGCTGTTTAATATTCTTGCTTTTTGAGAAGCTTCTAAGCTCAACTGTTAATCCTTGGAGATTAACCAAAAAAGGACTGTTTGTGTGCACAAATAAACCTGTTAATCTCTAGTAAACCTTTTCCAGCAATTGGGTGACCCCAGACCTACTGAATCTTTTTGAGGCTTTGTTGAGGGTCAGGCTGGGATCAGAAGCTGTCTCCCCATCAATGGTTCAAATCTTCTTGTGTCTCCTAAGGACTTGGGAATTCATCCATTGGAAGATCTAAGAAGGGTCACATTCCCCCCCCCGCCCCCCCAGCCAGTTACTTGGGACACCCTCCGAGGCGAGAAATGGCTGACTTTGAACCAACTTGGTCCAATTCTCCATGGACCAAAGAGCCGTAGACCTAGAGCCATTCCATCTTGACGGGGTTCAGTTTCAGCCCTGTTTCTCATCCATCCCTATAATTGTAGGTCACCCTTCCGAAGCAAGCAGTGGGTTTCAGCATCTCACCCGCCCCATTTTATTATTTATTTGAGGCACTCTGGTTTCAGAAACATAAAAAACAGGACTCCTTAATGGTCTCTGAGCTTGGGTGTTTCCTTGCAGACTGATTGAGAACTGATGATGTTACTAGTTTGGGTAATGAAACGTCTGCAAGAAAACAGCCAAGCTCGGAGAGCAACAAGAACTCCACAGCCGTCGTCCTCCTCCTCCTCCCTTTAAAACCCACTCCCTTCTAGATGTTACATAGTTGCACTGAGGACCCTACAGTCCTTTCCCCCCACCCTCCTCCTTTCTACAAACCCCACTCCCTTCTAGCACTGATGATGTTGGGTAATGAAACATCTGCAAGAAAACGCCCAAGCTCAGAGAGCAACAAGAACTCTACAAT